TGTTCCCTTTCATAGCCCTCAGAGGCCCGGGTTCAGAGTACTGGTATACAGAATGGGACACAGGTAAGGCAGTGGTAGGGAAAAGGGGAGTGATGCAGTGACAAATTGGGAAAGGACAGCCAAAAAAATTCTTAGAAGCCTTTAAGCTGGTAACATAAAGATAATGTTAAAAGTATTCTTTCATCCTGCAGATATTTATTGAGCTTTTACTTTGTATGTACCTGTGATCATAAGCACTTGGGGTTACAAAAAAAGTCTTGTGTCAAGGAGATAAAAACATATATAGAAGTAACTATAATACAGAATTGAATGTAAATATCTTAAGAAAGGTACCAAGTATTTATTGTAGTTCAAAGGAGACAATCCTTCCAGCTAGGGGACAGAGCTATGTTTATATATATACAGTGTTTAAGAAGCCAGAGTATATAGAACAGTTTAGAAAGATTTCTATTTTTTAATGCTTATAACTTAACTGTTTTTGTACTTGATTTGAATGCCACATTCCTTAACAGTGCTAAAGAAACATTGAGATTTTACAATGATGCTGGTTATGTTCACAACTCTTGGAGAAAAAATTACTGATCCAAATTCTTCTGGGAAACTTAAGTTATTTCCTGAGTATAAATAAGCCATATTGTTAGTGTATTTATGGATTCTTTAGAGAGTGAATTTGACTCTAAAGGTTCATTAACTCGCAAATGGATATTTTTAACCTACTTACCTTGTGTGGAATTCCTGAGAAGAAAGGTTTTGTTCAAAGCAAATTTTTAAATTGGGCCTACTTATGCCCTTTCATCTATATGCCAGAAAAGGCAGCCAGGAGTTACTAAAATTTTGTGGCAAGGACCCAAGTCAGGTAGGTCAGTTATTTCTTGGATCCTTGGCTCTACAGTCCTTTAAATTAAGGGGGAAAAAAATACTAACTCATTTGCAATAAAAACATAGCCAACTACTACCACCATCAGATTGTTAAGGTGATATGCTGCCAAAGAGTATTATTCATTAACATTTCTATAATGGGTTAAAATCATACTATATACAATAGTGTTAAATGTAGACTATTTGGAGTTTATTTTATCTCATTTTCAAGTTACTTAGATTTATATCACAGAAATGTCACTAGTATATATGTACTATGTATTCTTGTCTACCCTTTAATGAATGATTCAGGATGTTACATATTATTCAGAAAATAATTTGCTCTCAGCTATATGCCTTAATGAAGAGAAGAACAGAAATAATCTTCAACTCTTGGATTTTATGGTGTTACATAGCCATTCTCTTTGAAGAAGTGTTAGAGCTGGACTTGATTGTTCATGTCATGTAACACAATACTTTACTGTCAGAGAAGAGAAAACAAAGCCTCAAAGTATGTAAATGACATACCCAAGATCACACAATCAAATCACCATAAGCTAGTTAGTGGCCAAATTGGTACCTACCTCTCCTAGTCCATACTGTTCTTTCTGCTATAACTCACTGCCCTCCATACTTATTTATGACCGTATTAGTTCTAGCTATTTGTCAATTTTGAAACATCTTTTGAGAAACATCTTTTGATATCAGTTTTTAAGTTTGAGAAACAATATAACAAGCATTTATTTGGAAGTAAAGTTACCTGCTATATAATCCATTCATAATAATTAGGATCATCCCTAGAAGGATACATGGCTTGGAACAAATAACACTAAGTTCTTCTTCGACAGTTTTTGTACCAATGATGTGAGATGAGAAAGTACATCCCAGAAGTGAGCAAAATTTAGGCTGGAATGTAAAAGTGAAATGTCAACTCACTCTCCTGGGCATAGGTTTGACAGATGAGTTCTTTACTCTCTTCTCCTCTAAAATCTAGATTTAACCTTACTGAGGTTTTTAGCATTGTCCCAGATTGCTAGTAAATAATCTTCTGGTAGGTTTGCTCTTAGTTTTTGTTTTTCAAGTATCAGCTACCAAACCTACATCTTTCTTCCTGTTAGCTCCCTGTCCTAATCGAGCATCATAATGGTACCATCCCCCAAAACCATGGACTTAGGACTCAGATTTGCTGTACCCTGTGGATGGTTCTAATAATAACTATAACCTTATAGGAATAGACTAGGTAGATGCCTACTGGGAACTTTTTAAAAATCATGAACTAATGTTAAGTGTCTTAATAAAACTTCAAACACTTAAAATGTATAATAATCATGATAATTAATCACATAAAGACAAGCAATACTATCCATAAAAGATAGTGGAATAACATCCTGAATTTGAGCATACCACAACTTAACTTGATACTGTTTCTTATTATATAGTATATTACAGCAATAATTTAAAACATTTTTCAAGATGAGATTTTAGGTTAAATTCATGTTAAAATTCATATAATATAGGATGATTTACTGTATAGCTGCTTCAAGCCCTTGCAGTGTTTGATATGATGTGGCATAATAGAAACCTAAGTTTCCTGTAATTGGTGCTTCCTATTTTTAAAAAGTTTTGATTTTATTTACATTAATATTTACATATCTCCAGTTCTTCAATACCATTTTATGAAATACAAAACACATTGTCTATGTCTGATCCTCATTAAAATTGAATAAATGGGGGCAGCTAGGTGGTGCAGTGGATAGAGCACCAGCCCTGGATTAAGGAGGACCAGAGTTCAAATGTGGCCTCAGACACAAAACACTTACTGGTTGTGTGACTCTGGGCAAGTCACTTAACTCCACTGCCTAACCAAAAAAATAAATAAATAAATAAAAGATTGAATAAATGCATTATGATTCTTATAGTAACTGAAAATTAAAAATAGTTTACCACTTTTAATTTCTACCTGTCATTTTTTTGTGACTAGAACTTATTTTGATCATTCTAAAGGAAAGAAATATAATAACTATATGAACACAAAATAAGTCACCAGAACTTTTGTTTTAATAACAAATTTCGAATGATGTGCTATATTAAATAAACTTAACACAATAAAATATCCATATAGCTTTAGGCCAGTTTAGCCATTTGACTAGCATTTTAAAACATTTCTGTTGTGTGTTAAGTAGCAAAAAGAGAGAAGTGGTAATTAATCAGTCAGTAAATATTTATTAGGCATCTACTGTGTGCCAGGAACTCTGCTAAGTAAAAAAATCATCTGTGATTTGCCAATATCCTAAAACATATAACCAAAGGTACTTGAATCATTTGAGAATATTTACTTTTTTCCCCTTAAAGTTCAAGCTGTCAGGCTTCAGGCAAAAAGTTCTTAGTGGGGAAAGAGAGAAGGGAGCGAGCTATTAAAATTCATCTAGGTTTCACAGACTTGGAGCCAGGAAGACCTGAGTTCAAATTCAGCCTTAGACATTTACTAGCTTTGTGACCCCGGGCAAGTCACTTAAGATCTATTTGCCTTAGTTTCGTCATCTGCAAAATTGGGATAATAATAACACATACCTTCCAGGGTTAGTGTGAGGATGAAATGAGATAATTGTAAATTGTTTAGCACAATGACTGACACATATATAAATGTTAGCCACTACTACTATTAGTATTGTAATTGTTATAATGCTTCATTGCTTCCTAAAGTGACTTTTATTCAACAGACCTTAGTGGTATATCATAGAGTATGTGATTTATTGAAGACTTATTAACTCACTAAATGTATAGACAAGTGATATCTTTTCTTCTCTCATCCCTAAAATACCATCAGCTTTAGACTGATAGCTTTCTTTCAAATCCTAATCTATATTTTCAAATTTCTCTTAACAAAATTTCCTGAATTCTTAGCTTTTCTTTTTTTTGTTTAGTCCTCATTCTGCTCAGGTTATTAAAACTATACTTACAGTTAAGAATATGCTCTGAAAGTGTTGGGTTATTTTAATTATCTTGTTTAGTTCTTGATTTTTAAAATTTTTATCTTCACAGTTTTGCATGCCTTTATACCCTATGCAACATAAGTCCTTTGGCAGTTTATAGGATCATGGATTTAGAGCTGGAAAGAACCTGAGAGTCTGTCCAATTGAACTCTTTTATTTTACTGATGAAGAAATGAGATACAGAGAGGTTAAATGACATTCAGTGTCACACAGCTAGTTAAGTGTTTGAGGCAGGATTGGAGTTGCAATAGTAGAGGGTTTTTCCCCCCTTGAAGAGGAAGAAATCATGAAAATGTTAATTGTTGTAAAAAGCTATTGTTACATAAAATTTTCTTTTTTTCCTCACTGACAAAAAACTTGGTGTTTTTTTTTTATTATTTTTTTTTTAAACAAAACATCCATCTTTTCCTCAGCATCTCCTTGTGAAGACTAGGTTATTTTTAAGTGTGATCAGCTTTTTTTCTGGGCAAACTCTAATTGTCCCTTTTAGTAAAAACAAGTTATTACTGAAATATTTATCATTGAGATCTAGGTGTCTAATTTACAAGACTGCTAAATTAGACTTCAGGGCCTATGTTACATTTTATTACAGTCTACAACATAAGTGTAACTGGCAAGAATTAACGAAATAAAAGCCAGTTACACAGCTGCTACACATCTGGGATTTTGGTAAAAAGGGGGGTAGTTTAGCTTTGGCTTCATTGTGATAAAAAGCAGGGTCTAGGAACCTTTTTAACTAAAGTCTTGTGCTGTGATCAGAGCTCTATTTAATACTGGCGTATAAGTCCATGTAATAATAATTTGTACATCTTAAGGCCATTGCTAACTTTTACATCTTGCCATGTGAAAAATGATTATGTCAACTGTGGATTTTTAAAAATACTTTTTTTAGCAAACTAGAAGAGAGGTGATGGTGAAAGTAAACATTTCTACAACTTTCTTTGTCCCAATTTTGCCCTTGTCATGTGTCCCAGCTCGCCTTGCAATACCATGCTCCTTTTACCATACATTCATCAGGGAAGTTTATCTTCAGACCAAGTGGTTGTTGAATATTACTTTATGTCAATTAGTTAATCCTCTGAAAGAGGCATGTACCTTTTCATTTCTTTTCCTTATTATGTTGCCCTGCTCCTTTTCTGAATTTCACAGGCTTGCAGATGGGTCAAGGGCTGTGGAGAGTGGCCAGAAACCAACAACTGCAACAGGAAGGCTATAGTGAGCAAGGCTACCTAACAAGAGAGCAGAGTAGGAGGATGGCTGCTAGCAACATTTCTAATGCAAACCATCGCAAACAAACCCAAGGAGGCATTGACATATATCATCTTTTGAAAACAAGGAAATCTAAAGAACAGGAAGGATTCATTAATTTGGAAATGCTGCCTCCTGAACTAAGTTTTACCATTTTGTCATACCTGAATGCAACTGATCTTTGCTTGGCTTCATGTGTTTGGCAGGACCTTGCTAATGATGAGCTTCTCTGGCAAGGGTAAGTTTTTTGGGCTTGTCTGTTTGTTTTCGTTTTTGAGGTTTTTAAAAAAGTTTAATTGATAACCTTTTGGGTTTTTACATCACATTCATGTTTAAATATTACTTTCCTCCCCCACCAGGCCAGCCTTCTCTTGGCAAGCCTAAGTTAATGTAAACCCAACTGTACATGGTTTAAAAATAATTATATTTGCACCAAAATTCCGAAGTGCTCTCTTTAAAGCAAAGATTCATGTGATAAACATTTCTATTTGACTTTGGCAGAATGAGTTCATGTCCACATTTTATCTTATTTGTCCAAGATAGGCCACCAATAGGCGCAATATCTGACATTTGAAAAAACAGTGATAGTACAAAAGAAAGGGTGTTTTTTACTTAGTAATTAAAATAAAAGTTACTGATCAGGAAGAAGAAGGGTACCATACTCTTTTACTTTGTAAATCTAATCTGTACTGAAAACAGAGTGAACTCTCAGGATAAGTTTCTCATTTAAGGGTGTCTGAAATTATCATACTTTTCTTTGATTTGTTTCCATTATGTTTATGGCATTTTCCACAAATGAGTGTGGGTGTTACTGAGCAAGTTTAAAACAAACAAACATAAAATGTCTCAGTAGTAGATAATCCAAAAAACATATTTTAGACATTAGTTGCAAACATCATCTCTACCAGTCCTTTTATCAGAGCTGCTAACGCAGCAAAACTGACCAGCTGGGGTTTCATCTGCTTCCTATTTACCTCCGACCACCTACTGGTAAGTGCTAACGAGCAAGGAAGTGACCACATATTATCTGGCAGAAAAGGAGAAGCAAAAGGCCTGGATAACACAGCTCCTGATTTGAGAATTGAATGTAATAGTCCAATACTTACTATAGAAGTTAACACATAAACTGTAAACCAGGGAAAGTTGGCTGAAATATACTGTAAATTAAATGTATTATTGAAAAGAATGTTTAGCCACTTAGACTACTACACAGACTGAAGACAGGACATCTGCACAGTCATCTTAGTTTTACGGTGACCATGTCAATGACTGCATTTTTTTGAACACTAAAAATGTGACCAAGTTTATAATTGAAACTCGATTTTCACACATTTTCCTTCCTTCTAGATTTTGAAAATATTTTTCTTGAAAGCTTTTAGAGTAAATTATTTTTTAGATAAAAGAAGTCATTTTATTAGAAATTTTGTTAACTTATGCCATGGCTACTTAAGCTCTTTTATTATTGAAGTAGAGCATCAGCACAATATATGTCTCTTAAATATAAATGTAATCTCTCAGTAAATAATGCAATCAGTAATGTCTTCATATTAATACATTGTTTTAGGGAAGGTATATAAGTTACATTCATTTTAAAATAGTGTAGGAGTGAATGAAAACTCTAATTCTTAGTTAACTAAACAATTTTAAAAGCCATCAAAATAAATATCAAAAGTGAATAGTTTCATAATAAAGTGTGGTTTTCTCATTAGATGTTATGAAATTTTAGGTAACTTTGAAGTACTATTACATCAAAAAAATTTGGAGCGTATGTATATAAATGGAAATTAAAGTTAATTCATTCTGATATTTTCCATTTTATATTTTGATTGTTCTCAGCAAATGTAGAGGGTTTTCAATTTATAATAGAATTAAAGATGACTTAGTTATCTGAATTTTTATTTTAAACTTAATTTCTAAACCCATAATGGCTTAATTAATACTTCTTACCCATTTGAGACTTAAACTTGAGTTTTGGTTAACTTGTATTATCAAAGATACTTTTGTTTCCATGTTTTCTCCCCAAGTATTGAATTGTATTCATTGTTAATTTGAGAGTTATGTATTGTTTGATTATGGTTCTTGGAATATATGTTTCATAAAATATTTGTGTTAACTCTTATGTATGTACTTATCCAGTAGAAAATAAGTTCCCTGAGTATAGGGACTGCTTTATTTTTTATTTTTTTAAACCATATATGCTTTTATTAAGACCCTTAACAAAATGTTTAAATTTTGTGATTAATTTGAATAGTTATGCTTCAGTGCTTACAGAATGCATGTTTTCATAAGTTTGGGTATTCCATCCACTAATAACGGTCACAAGCTCCTCCAGCCTTAGTAACCATTATTCATGAGTATCTATGATTGGAAAAAAAAATCATCACTTGGTGATGCTCCTGGTAATGAGCCTCTCTACTATATAGGTTCACACATATCTTAAAACAGTAGGGTCTGTAATCAAAGCCTTTCTAGCTCAGTACAACTCATTCACCTGTGCTTGCTGATACAGCCTTAAGGAATTCATGGTCACCTTCTATGTCACAGTGAGGCATCAGAATAGGACTTTGCTAGGGATTTTCAGATATGTGTGTGTGTGTGTGTGTGTGTGTGTACATACATATATATGTATACATATATACATACATATGTATACATGTATATAATAGCTAACATTTATATGTTATATGCCCATTTATATGGGCAGCCAGATGGCACAGTAGAGTGACAAGCTTGGAGTAAGAAGACTCTTCTTCCTGAGTTCAGATTGAGCCTCAGACACTTAATAGCTATGTAACCCTGGGCAAGTCACTTAAGCCTGTTTGCCTCAGTTTTCTCATCTGTAAAATGATCTGGAGAAGGAAATAGCAAACCATTCCAGTAACTGCCAAGAAAACTCCAAATTGGGTCACAAAGAGTCAGACATGACTAAAAACAACTAACCAACATTTATACGCCACTTAAAGGTTTTACAAAACGTTTTACATATATTACTCATTTGAATAAAACTTTGTGTGTGCTTATATATGTACATATATATGTATGTAAAATAGAGAATCCATAAAACAGTAGTCAGTCAAAGTAGGGTAACATAATTGTGGTTTAGGAATCAAAAATTTTATTTTGAGGTTGTAAAAAAAAGTAAAATTTTTAAAAAATCAGAATATTCTACTTTTTATGAATTACATTTAAAAGTTTATGCTAAAACTATCATATGCTTTTATTCCTTTTTCCTCTGTACTTAAGTTATATGACGAGAGTTTAAAGTAGAAGTAAAACATGAATCTAAGAAAAATTGTGCTGAAGTATATGTTCATTACAAGCAATATAATAAAACAAATTGTAGAATTTTATACAAATGGTTTCATAAATTAGTTCCTTGAAATATACTTTTATGGTGAATGTTATATCAAAATGTATCTCAGCAGCCACTGTCTGCATAGTGTTAGATATTATCCTGGTTGATCTCTATCATCATGACCATATCCTAATTTTGCATGTGGAAATTATTTCTTTGCTGTTTTAAGGTCCTATTCTTTCCTACACAACTGGAAAGCATCTCTCATGTTAAATATAAAATATTTTTGGCTTTAAAAAGTAACAAGATATTCTAAGGAGAAAATAGGGCTAATGTTGGCTTGAAGGTTTTTTGAAAACTTTTTTTATGGTTTTTTACCTACATGGTAAAGATCTAAAAGGTTTTGAAAGATATATTAAAACAAATTCCTACAATTCTACTCGTTATTGTTCATTATATTACCTATCACTGAGAGAAAAGGGGAGAATTCAAATCCTTACCTTGACAGTATTATCTGATTTTATTCAGTTTACATATTTATTAGGTAGATTTCTATCTGGACTGAATTTAATAATGCAATATTACTAAACTCAACACCTGTGTATAAACTTTTTTTGCAAAATAAAAAAAAAATCCGAAATGTAAAAACTTTTAAGCTTTTGAGAAACTAACATTATCAAAGTTAAATTTGTAACAAATTACAGCATTTTTTCTGTGTGCTTGATTTACTTTTATTTTTATAGGTTGTGCAAATCCACTTGGGGTCACTGTTCCATATACAATAAGAACCCACCTCTAGGATTTTCCTTTAGAAGATTGTATATGCAGCTGGATGAAGGCAGCCTTACCTTTAATGCCAACCCAGATGAGGTAAGTGAAGAACTTGAATTTTAGTAACAGTTGTAATTTTATTACTTCTTTGGTGCTACATGTATAAGTGTTGCAATATAATAAATTGCAGATAAAATTACAAATAATTGAAAATGACCTTTTTAAACATTGTGAAATCAAAATATGAAGTTATTGCCTTATAAATATGGTCAGTTTTTCTTCATGAATACAACACATATTCAACTTAGTTCACACCTACTTTGTTTGACAGTGTTAATATATCAGGCATGTAATATACTGCCTTTTCAGATTGAAAAGTTACAATTAAGGAGCATAAAATATTCCTGATGTGAAGGAGTATATTCATAAATTTCTATTGTTAATAAAGTAAATTGCTTTATTTAGAAAGTACTAAAGGACATGTATTTAAGCTCTTAACTGTCAAAATAATTGCCATTAACTATATAACTGTATCTGTAAATTATACTAATGAATTCTAAGTGTCTTTTTTAAATAATAGTTTTATCATCTGGTTTTCTTTTTCTAAATAATGTGTAAAGAAAATCATCCAGATATAAAATATATACTCTAACTTTTCCCTGTTTTTATTGGTCTAAAACTCCAGAGTTTGAAAGACAAGAGAGTAGATTCTAGACCTATAATTTCCATTAGATGTGCACAAATTATGCAACCCTGATATCTGCTTTTCATATCACAGTATCATATCACATACCACAATCCTGTGGGAGAATAATGACTTAATTGTTTTACATTTTCTTCATTTTTTCACTACCTAAAACTAAAACCTCTCTTTTTTTTTTAAGATACTAAAGAATTATTTACCAAACATTTAGAGTGTCTTTTATAGATGTGTTAAACTTACTAACTTCTCTAATTTTTTTTGTTTGGAAGTTGCACAGTGTGATTTTTTTTTCTGTTATTCTGTCAAAAGTAATACATTCTAAAAGCCTTCAAGAAAAAATGACATTCAAAAAAATAATATGTGAAAATACTGATTAGAGAAACAAGCCAAGTAATACTTAAAATAACATTCTGTTCAAAACAACAGATTTTTATTTTCCTTGAGGTTTTTTTTCACATGAAGCACTTTCTTCTGCATATATGACAAATATGCAGTCCTTGATAACAATTAGTTATTATACAATTTGAGATGCTACTAGGTTCCTCTGGATAATGACAGTATGTTGTTTTTCTGATATAACAACCTTTAAATTGGCTTATTAGTATTGACCTTCCCCATTACTCATAGTGTAAGAGTTCTACTGTGAATGTAAAAGAACTTAAGGATTAAGAGTGTCATAAAATATATAGTTTTTAGACATTTGAAATCAATACGACTGCCTGTTAGAATCTCATGACATATTGAGGCAAAATGATCAATCTTTAAATGTGCATTGAAACTGTGACTTAAAATTCTGCTGAATTGCCATAGGCTTTTTTACTTTTCCCATCACTGTGTAAAACTTTCTTTTGTTGCCTTTCACTGTACAAATTTATTGTTTCTTCTTTGGTGTCAGGCAAGATTGTTTAAATTTTCAGGCAAAATTGTTTAAATTTCCTTTATAAACATATAAAAACAATAACTACATGATATCCAGTGCTAGCTAATGCTAGATAATGCTAATTCTGTTCTGTTATAATCTTGCACTGTGGTATAGCCACTATGTGCAAGGGGTATAAGAAATCATTTGTACTTCAGCTGCATTTTTTAAATCAAGGGCTCCATGTGATTAGTTACCATGCATATTTTCCACCAATTAGCTAATAATTGTTACTACAAATGAAAAGTAATTTATATTTTCAGAGCTATGTAAAATACACTACGTGTTTCAATCTTTTGCATCAGTTCCATGAAGTAGTTCAGTACTGTCATCATTACCTCCATTTTACTAAAGGAGAACTGAGGTAGAGATAGGTTCTGAACTTTATTTCAGTTGTCTGACAGTCAGAAGATACAGCTCTCAAAGTCCCAATTTTGTGTTTATCACACCAGTTCATCTTGGTTTATGTTTATGTTAAGCAAAACTGTCGTCCCCAAACCCTGCAACTTATAAATCTTACAGACTAAGCAAATTTAACTTGGTGGGAGCTTGAATAGTAAATATTCAAAAGAGGAAAAGGTGATGTAGCAAATGATACTGATGTGGTAAGTGACTGTCACTTTGCTATTGGATACTCATTTTTTGAAAGAGTTATAAAAACCAGGTTCTTCTCTGTCTTCCCTTGAGTGTGGTGTGTATGATACACTAGAGAGGGCCTGAATGGGAATCTGAAAGCCAGGGTTCAAGTTCTATTTCTTCACTTCCTATAGCTCTGACCTAGGAATTAAGGCAGTTTATTTAACCTTTTGAACCTCACTTTCCTAATCTGCAAAATAAGGATAATAATGCCTCCAATTCAGGGTTGTTTTAAGGAAAGCAGTTTGAAAACCTTAAAGAACTGTATAAATAGGAACTATTATTATTCCTCATAACTTGTTGTACTGAGATTAGAGATCCTCATTAATCAGATTGCTATGGAAAGTCTTAGATAAAAATCTAATTCTTCCTGCATTTTATAATCTTATACACCTAGCATAGTCCAGAATAGCACTTATTAGCACTTCAAGTAGACCCTTTCAGGGGGAGAGAGAAGGTAAAATTTGAGTTTGTTTTACTTCTTGCTAATAACTATAATGCAAAGTTTAGAGGAGAATGAAATTTATTAACATGAGATTGTTAGGAGAATATTTGGATTTTACTTATCCATCCTGTCCCCCATTATTGTTGAGAGTTGGCTGTATTTTAATTTTCTCTACTTCTTCCCGTAAATTTAAGTGTTTCATGGAGCATTCAAGAATGATTTTATCTCTATGGAATAGCATCATAACCTTATCTCTGGGTACTGGGCTAGAATATACGACCACTCAAGACCTCTTTCAGTCTTAAATTCTCACACTGTGGCTCTATGAACACCAGTAATTTAACAGGTGCTGTGCCAAATACCAAATCAGATTTAGTCTAGTTAGTTTAGAAAGGGAAGCATCTTAGTCATTTCTCTATTACATTCCACTTTTATTGGTTAATATGATTCATCTAAATTTGGTCATGTTTTAATCATATAAGTGAAGATTTCTCTTTATTAAAAATGTGTTAAATAATACATTATTCAAAACCAAACTATATATATTCATATGTTAATCTGGTCATTTGCAAGAATATCACCAAGTCCATTAAGAGCTAGAAATCAATATGTGCCTCTTGGAGACTAATATTTGCTCCCATTTAGGAAAATTCTTACTTAATAATTGCATCCATCTAAATCTGTGGACAGAAAGTTAATACTCCATTGATGGCATTTATCATGAGAGCTTTGGATAAAATGTCTAATAATATTCCACTTTTACAAAAGTCTGCTTCTCCAAACTTTCCAGTTATGTACTCTACATTTTGGTAGCAAACATGATTAAAATATAAAAATGAGAATACTTACGGCCACAGGGAACAAGATTCTCCAAAGGACACCGTTCATGTCTTGGAAATGGGTAACCAAACTCCACAGCAACAGCTCCAGAGCTGGCGGTGGCTCACGGGGTGGGGGAGAGCATCTGCACACTTTGTGGTAGGAGTATCTAGCACGCTGTTGTTTATGCATGGCATTGTGAACTCACGTGCATGAGCTTGTGTTCTTTGTGGAGGATGATCACATTCTAGTAAAGGAATGTGCTGACAACTATATGTTTAGCCTACATCCCCCATGCATGTAAAGACTGCTTTTGTCATGTTTATACCATTGGCAGTGTTATAATAGATAAAAGTAATTTTATTTATCTCCCAGTATGATTTACTCCTTATGCTTTATTCAGTATAGACAACATTTCCATGACACAGTCATTCCATAACCAATGGTATTAATAAATAATGTTCTGTCTGAAAATGGATAGTGAACATGGTTCAATTTTAAATTTTGTTCCTTTTTTTTTTGTAAAATAAGTTTTATCTTCTTTACTAAGTTAATTTATGGAATGCACTTGAATGAAAACACATGAAAAAGTATTACTTAGAAGCTGATTATCTTATTTTCATGGTATTTTTTTTCTTAATGGAACTATTATGTATTTTCTTCAGCTTGTCTTTCTTTGCAAATGGGCTCTCTACTATCTAAAATATATTGAATGCTATGACTTAATTGTCCTCACGTGGTTAGAATGGAAAAAGTAAAGTACTTATATTTCCACATTTCATTTTTATCATGGTAGCACATAGTGTATAATTGTTTTATACTTGTTCTTTTAAATAGTATTCCAGATACAGAATCTTTCTGTCTTTTTGGCCCTAAATGCAACAGCACAATGTTGAACCGGTGCTTAGCATAGTGCCTGGCACACAATAGGCACTTAAGAAATGTTTATTTATTGAGATTTCTTTGCAAAACAATCTTATTGAAGAATTGCTTCTGCTGTCCTTAGAAGATGGATAAATAATTGCTACAGATTACTATGTACAGATTATATGTAATTGACCATACATGTGTGTTCATGTTTTCAATACTTCAAAAGTTCCATGATTTCATACGTATTAATCCTTTCTTCAGTCACATATATGTGAGTTTTTATATACAAACATATATGTGTTTGTATATCTCAGGACTTAAAAGTGAGAAAACTGTTTCTCCTCTCTCCCCAACTCCCCCTGCTTCTCTCCCCTTTTGAAGATTGTAAGTTCTTTCCAAAAGTCTATGAATTTGTTATTCTAACTCATTTGAACTAGCCTTCATAACAGCTTAGCATTCAAGGCAAGTAGAATGCCTAAATATTAATCTAATTCTTTACCGTATAGTTTTTACCTTATGTCTAAGGCATTATTTGGGAAAATAAGTATGAGTAAGATAAGCCATAGTTCAAATTGGCTATGGTGGCAATGTTGAGGTCACAAAACTGCTCCTCAGGTTTGATCTATAACAGTATATCCTCAGTTTCACATGAATTCAGTCACTGAGTGGCATTCATTGCTTGGATACCAAAACATCACTATGCATAG